CCGTGTCACCGTGTCCCTGTCCCCAGTGTCCCCTGTCCCCCGTGTCACCGTGTCCCTGTCCCCAGTGTGCCCTGCTGGAGTCGCGCCTGTCGGACCAGCTGACCCTGCACGTGGACGTGGCTGGGAACGTGGTGGCCCTGGGAGTGGTGGCACTGCCGGGGACCTGCCGGGGGACAGAGGTGGAGGACGCGGAGCTGGAGCTCTTCAACACCTCGGTGGCCCTGAGACAGCCCCTGCCCGCGGCCACGTGGGTGACACGGGGACATGGGGGGACATGGGGGGGACACAGAGACGGGGGGGACAGGGGGACATGGGGACACAGGGACAGGGGGACATGGGGGGACACACAGGGACATGGGGACACAGGGTGGGACACTGACCTGGGGGTCTCCAACACCTCGATGGCCTCGTGCCACCCCCTCTGCTGCCACCTGAGTGACACCTGGGGACATGGGGGACCTTGTAGGGTCACAGGGGGACACTGTGGGGACACAGGGCACCCTCGGGGACACTGTGGGGACACTGGGGACATGGGGGACCCTGTAGGATCACAGAGGGACACAGTGGGGACACAAGGGGTGCTTGGGGACACTGTGGGGGCACAGGGCACCCCTGGGGACACAGGGGACATGGGGGACCCTGTGGGGACACTGTGGGGACACAGGGCACCCTCGGGGACACTGTGGAGACACTGGGACAGTGGGGGGACATTGGGGACCCTGTGGGGACACGGCGGAGGGCACATGGGGACACAGTGACACTGGCCCAGGGGGATGGGGTGACCCTGGGAGGGGGGACAGAGGCCACGGTGACCCTGAGGGGGACATTTGGGAGGCCCGGGAGTGCAGGAGTGGGGAGGAGGGGACATTTTAGGGGCCTGTGACAGTTTTTGGGGGTCCAGGGAGGGTCCCCCAGGTTTTGGGGTGCCCCTGAGCCCCCCTGGCCCCCCCCAGCCCCGAGACAGCCGCCTTCATCCGGCACCTGGAGCAGGAGCAGGCACAGAGAGCCCGGAACCCCCAGGAGCAGAAATCCTTCTTCGCCAAATATGTGAGGGAAAACCCCCCCCCAAATCCCCCCCAGCGCCCCCAAACTCCCCCCCAAAATCACCCC